AAACCTCAAAATCTTGGGCCTGCTATTTCATCCTGCATGTCCAAAAATTATAAGACATTGTTGATTTCACAATTGCTCAAACATTATCGATTTTACAATTGCTCAAATTTGATCATTCTATGCGTCCACAAGAGGGAGAACTAGGATGCAAATCTAAATTTTGAGTTATTCGGACTCTTTTATCAGGTTATAGAATGTACAAAGTTTTCGCTAAAATCTTGATTATAGATGCTTATATTTCAAACCAAAAACCAAACTTGGGAAATATAAAATGCCTTACAACACAGTTTACAAAGAAGTGGAAATGAAATATTTAATCTGTGGTGTAAAATCTTCTACCTGCTGTACTTTTGCAACACTATGTTCGCAGGCATAACTTTCTTTTTCAAAATTTGAAAAAGAATGTCAATTTGTGAATTTGATGATTCTTACCATAACCAATTCAATTCAGAAAAACAATTACCAATTCAATTCGATTCTCAGTTCAGGAAACCCACATTTCTCTCTCAGAGAGATATCTCGTATTTCATTTTTCGATATGAATCCCAATTTAACAACTACGGCCAAATATCAAATTCATCAAAAAGAGCGAAGAGTAGTAGTTAGGAGTACTGCTTGATATCTTGATTTCTAACTGTATGTGCTAGAAGAAATTTACTTGAATATAAGAAGCTCCAAAAAAAAGCAGCAGAAAATAAGTTTCATACAAACAAATGTATTCTCTCACACAATCTCCAATAACAGAAGCACTACTATATGTGGCCTTATGCTGCACCATCTGCAATCCAGCTACCACTAATGCCAATAGCAATAATATTAGTAGTACAGGAAGTGACAGCAAACAACAACTATAGCAAAAATAAAATATGGCACATCTAGAGGTTGAAATACATCAAAAAAAAGAAGTCTCTTTCCTTCCCACGTATCTGTGGTCACAGAAACAACAAAAGCATTCTTATCAGAAGAGAGAGAGAGAGAGAGAGAGAGAGAGAGAGTAGGCAAAGAATACCTGTTGTACACGGGCGCGCTTTTGAAATATTTGGTCTTCATAAACGGCAACTGCCTGAATAAACTGTTCTACTCTATCTAGTGAAACCTGCAACCACAAAAGAATTGATATTCAATCTATGGACAGCCACTTTGTGCACATGATTATAGGGTTAGCGTTATCTACATACCCAATCCAGTCTCCCATCATCCCTCAATTTATGGAGACCATAAAGAGGAATGGCCTCAAGAGTCAGGATAAGGTGAGGGTACAAAAACTATTGCATTTGATTTGGATCTATGAATGTGCAATTTAGTCATAGAAAAGAAAGCAACCATAAACCTAAGCAGTGTTGACATGAAAATTGACAAGGCAAAGACATGGCATATGAAAGTATGCATCTACATAATGTCAAACTCTGATATTTCAATGTATTGTGATGACTCTACCTATCAAAAGAATTTGTATAAATATGGCCCTCCATGTATACTAAGAACATGTATCTTCCTTGGGTTTGAATATCATCAAACTTTACATACAAACAGCACAACACTGATCTTTATGTTTCCCTACAAAAATCTTTGGTGTCCCAGAGAAATCCCAAGAACTAACAGCCAAGTGTTTAGGAGTTTCTAAGTAATGTGGAACAACTAGTCTTAAAGTCATGAGATTAAGGTTGGGAAAAGGGGAGTGGCTAGGATTTAACTAAAGTATCTAAGGCCAATAAAGGCTTTACAAAAAAGCCTAATACGCGTGTACTTCATTAACAATATATTGCTATATTTTTAAGGTTGGATATTTGAAAATCTTGGACCAACCACAGCCCAAGGCATCATGCCCACACCCATCTTGTTTCTATGGCCAAAAACTCATGAGCTCAACCATCATAAAAGCTAGTGTTAAAATCAGGAAAAAAAAAAAGCATAGCTGAGAGTTTACAATTCAGTTTCACAACCTATGATGAAGTTCCGTTTTGAAAAACTTCACGCAGTTCAGTTTAAAAACTACAAATACCAACACGCTACTTACGAACTCAATAGGTATGCAACCCTAATAAATTCCTTCCCACCTCCCCAAATCAAAAAGAAAAATACAATATGGACTTTTATTTGTGTTTAACCGTAGGATACATATTATAAAGACAGTATTAGTCATAAAGCCCTACAAGGTTTTCTGCAGCCTCCTCTCTCCTCGCCTAATTTGAAAAAAAAAAGAAAAGAATACAAACCCCCAGGATGTGGCCCCCAGGGAGGACCTACAATGAAATGGCCATTCATACTTGCCAATGACAGCCTCACTATTATGAGACTTTCTAAGGAGCTGTTTCAATTACCACAATATTGAAATTCTCCCCTTGCTCCCCTTAGTGTGTGTAAGGCAACCTAAGTGCTAAGCCACAACCAAAAAGTCATTCCCTACTCTATCATTGATGGAGACAGAAAAGGAACTGTATAAGCTTAAATTGAAGAGATTATTTGTTTGTTCGACTAGGAATATTAGTTAGAGTTTGATTATGAAATTATTATAGAGTTTGAATTGGAGAGTAATTTAAGAGTATGATTATGAAACTTTTTTAAAATTTCAATAAGACAGTAGTTTTTGTTTTAGTAGGAGACTTAAGAGGTGTTTGATAAAACTGAAAATTAAGTACCGAAAACTGAACGCTGAATTTTTTAATCCCAAAATTATTTGGTATTCATTAAAATTCAAGTATTGAATTAAATCAAACTGTTTGAGAAATATAAAAGGCTAAAGCCTGAAAATTATTATTATTATTATTGTAATTTTACCCTTCTCTTTTACCATCTCGCCGCAACTAACTTATTCTCTTTTACCATCTCATGGAGGGGATTATGGTGGAATGGTGATATTTGATTATGGGGGCAATGCTGAAAGTTAGTGGCAGAACAATAATGTTGGTGACAGTACTAGCAATGGGTGATGGAGGTAGGGGATGGTGGTTGTGGTGGCAGTAATCGTGGTGCTGGTAGTGGTGACTGCATTGGGGTTGTAGCAGGTATGGTGGACTAATAGTTGTTGTTGTGGTTGGGGCGAAGGTAGGAGGTGGAAACAGAATAACAATGGCAGTGGTGGCAAAATGTATGTTTAGGGCAATTAGGGTGGTGGTGGCAAAAATAATGGTAGTGGTGGTGGTAGTAGGGTGGCAGTAGTGGTAGGGGATATGGTGGACTGGTGGTCGTGATGGTTGTGGGGTCAAAGGTGGGTTACAATAACAGGTTGGCAGTAGTAGTGATGATGGTAGTGTGTGTTGACAGCGATGGAGGGGTGGTGATGGTAGGATTGCAATGGTCGTGGTGATGATGGCATTAGTATTGGTGATGGTGGTGGCGGCGACGGCGCTAATGCTGGCGGTGTAGGAATGGTGGTTGTTGAAAAGGGAGTGTGGAAAATAAATTGAGATCTAATTATTTGAGGGTGAACTTGTTCAATATGAGAAGTTTATAAATCCTTATTGACTAACGTTTTCAACATTAAGTGATAAATAGGTGACTTATACTTAAAATTTTAGTCAATTTTTCAGAGGTGCTAAAAATTTTAAGTAGTGTAAGTTTTGATATTCAAACACGCTTTATTGAAAGCATTGAATGTCTTCAATTTTAAGTGTTGATTTGGGTTATCAAACACTTATCTTATAAATATGGATGTAAACCCTACTATTTCATTGGAGATAGTGATATTATTTAAAGTGTTTCTCTACAGAGAATTTATGTGCTTTTTGACCAATTCCTTGCAAGGATGAGGTAACTCCTTTCATGCCTTTTTTCTTCTCCTCTTTCTATAGGTGGCGAGTAGTTATATGGATACGATACTTTACCCATTTATGCTTCCCTAGCTCCCACAAGAATTGTATGTGAGTCATCCTCGGAGGGACTTCCCGAATGACCATACCGAGGAATTCTACCATACTCGGTACAGCTATTATTGTTTATCGTGCAAACTCTACCCAAAGGTTAAGGCCGGATTGTAGGAAGTGGGTGATACATTTTTGTATTTCTATGAGGGGCTCTATTTTTTGATTTCTTCTTCTTCACATCCTACATTAATTTGGTATTGGAGCCAAATCACAAATCCAAATTTCTTCCTTTCAATTTCAAGCCCCTACTGCTGTCCGTCAGCACTTGCGCTGCTGAGTATCGCTTGTGTTTGAACCAGGAGGCACCCATATACTTCAAGGAAGAAGCAGGCTTGCTAGGTTTAAAGAGTTGGATTGACCAGACCCTGATTTTTTACTTGAGCCTTGAACTGATCCATATCCAAATACAGACCCTGACCCAGGTTTGAACCAGCCCCGACCCACATCCTGAAAAAGAAAGCTTGTCCAGCCTGTATCCTAAACCCTAAACCAACCAGAAAAAACAAAAAAACAACAGATCTGTTCAGACCAGAATTAGTCCAAGCCCAAAGTCACCCATAAGTTGCCATAACCCAATAACCATAATCATTAACCTTTGCCCAAACCAAAGTCTTATCCAACCTATAAAAAACCTGCCCGTGCTAAAAGCAACTATGGATGCCTTGACTACCTTTTTCGGAGTTATGCTCCCAATCGAGAATTATTTGAACTAGGTAGATTTTGATTCACCTACTGCACCCATCAATCGTCAACAAGTGATTGAATAAACTCCACCACCAGAAGCCTCAATTCGATTGAATGATGACAAACCGAAGTTGGTTAGCGTTGATGAGCCTAAAAATTCTACGTCATCCTATATTGATCGTTATTGATAATCAAGCTTCGAAGGCTGTCTCTACAGATGGAGTTGATAACTTGTATCTATTGGTTTATATACTTCCTTCACCTAAATTAAGTGTATATGGATAAGGATGTGAATGAAGCAATGCATCAAGTGATTATTTTCCATTCTGGGGATCTACAATAGTATTTTCTTGGAATGCAAGCTTCTTCAAATGTCATTCTACCTTCACAACTCTTTGGAAAAAAGTTTTCTTAAGCTAGGAAGAATTAATGGAGACCGAAAAGGAATTAGATAAGCTTAAATTTAAGAGATCATTTATTTAATTTTATTCCTTTTCTTTAGGAATATTTGTTTGATTAGGAGTACTTGTTAGAGTTCGATTAGAGAATTACTATAGAATTTTAACAGGAGAGTAATTTAAGAGTTTTAACAGGAGAGTAATTTAAGAGTTTTATTATAAAACTTTTTTAGAATTTTAATAGAAGAGTAATTTTTGTTTTAGTAGGAGACTTAACCTATAAGTATGGATGTAATCTCTAATATTTCATTGGAGATAGTGATATTAATAGAAGTGTTTCTCTAAGGAGAATTTGTGTATTTCTTGTCCGATTCTTTGCGAGGATGTGGTAAATCCTTTCACCCCTTTTATTTTTTCTCCTCTTTCTATTTCCCAATTTCTTCTACTTTCCATCCTACATCAATCATACTTGCCAATGACAGCTTCACCTATTATGAGACTTTCTAAGGAGATGTTTCAATTATCACATTGTTGAAATTCTCCCCTTGGGTGTGTGTGTGAGCATGCCCACAAGAACCTAGAAGGAGGTACAAGATTTTCACAATCTATAATTCTCCATAGCAGCTCTTCACCATCTCCATCTTCAGCTTACACCTTCCCCAGTAACTGACAAAAAAAGAGTATTTGGGTTTCTATTCTTTTTCTTTCCACTTCAACATGGGAAAATAATTGGATCTGAATTTCTTTTGCCCCTCCAAAAGAATCGAGTGTTCGCCAAAGGAGGTGTCCGGTTTTTGCAATCCACTTTGACATATGATATGGCAGCATAGCTCAGTTTATTGTAGAGATATTGCCGTAACTTCCAATCTAACAAATGAGTGACCAATACTGGAACAATGTCCTATGGATTAAAGGATGTATGTCACTGAGACCCCCTAATGTCCAATTCCTGCATTCATTTCTGCTATATATACTTGACACGCAAGAAAAGTCAGCATTATGAAATTCGTGCCTTGGCAATGAAAAGGCCATGCTTCAACTACATATTGCCTCTGTCAGCTTTAACAAATATACAAACAAATTACAACAGCTAAATACAAAACAGATAATCCCTTCAATATCATGAAAGCACACTTGTAAGTTATATCATGTCACTTATAGCATACTTGAAGGAGCACAAAGTTCAGTATTATACGGAAATAAATGAAGATTACCTCACCCGCATCCGTAAGATAACCACCCAATGCAGCAAACTCCCTTCTATAAATACTCATCAGCAGATTTAAAGCACCCTAGGTAATAGAAAATATGATGTATCAATAATAATTCCGTAGAATGAAAAGAAGGGATATTTCAGTTGAACAGAATGAAAACTACCCAACTACTAGTTTACCATAAACACTACCTATATCAAAGTACAAAAAACAAAATATTTTATGAACCTGACTTCATTGTCCTAATAAAAAGATGAACAATTTCTACTGACTCGGTATCCAAAGAAAATATGTAAAACTGTCAGAAATCTCTGTTGATTATGAACAATGGAAGGAGGCTATGTAGAACCACAAACCTCCCGAATTTCTAGCATAGGCATATGTGGAAGAAAGTCATTGCCAACAAAGAAACATAGAAACACAAAGTCATCCACCACCCTTTCAAAGTTAATCTTAAAGGGAGGGTTGGGAATCTCCAGTTCATATTGCAAATATTCTCGCAACACCCAGATGTTGAGAAACTGCATGAAAATAATAAGTTTCAGAAAATTAAGGGGTCAAAAATATGGGAAGAATAAAGTAAGTTGACAGTAATCCAACCTGATATTTCTTCTTATGAATCGGGATGTCATCCACCACTTTTGAATTTGCATTTCCTGCATGAACGCCACCACGACACTCAGCTGCCAGATGACCAACTTGACCACAGAGAAAACATTTTTCCTGTTGCCCAGGGAGTGTGATCACCTGCACAGTCAGCAAAAAGGTTCAAGAAGTCAATCATAAACCAGAAATGAGTTGTAAATGAATAGTATTTGGATAACGTAGTTACTGACCTCCCTTAATATTGAAAAGTGAACCTCATGTGTAGCTAGAGACAGCATTATAAGATCTGCATCCTAGTTGCAATAAACCAAATGATACATTAGGACTTAATAAATCGAGAAATTGCAGTTCTCATGCCAAAATCAAATTCAACTTACAAGACATGTGAAAAGAAGAATGAATATAAACAAGAAACAGCAAGAGAAAAACTAGTATTTTATTTTTCCACTCACCAGACCATAGAGACAATGTCGAGTGTTTGGATTAAAACCAGCAAGGTTCCGTTGCAATCGAATGTAGGACATGATTTTGTGCTCCCCCTCACCAGGAACATTTGAGTCAGAAAGAATAACCTTCAAATAATCACCCAATGCAGCCCCATAAATAAATAAAGAGAGACAAAGTATCCTGAAAACCAGAAATATATAGCAAAAAGAACCAGAAAAAGATTACTCCACAAGAGGTGAATCATCTGACTGATGGGACTATATGAGAAGCAAGAATTTTTATAGATTATTGCAAACAAACCTTTGTAAACTGCCAGCCAGAATTTCGGTTCAACCTAGCCTGTATATAATACTGAAGGGCTACTGATAGCACAGCCATAAATGGAGTTCCAGGGGTAATGACATTTGAATCAGATGTTTCAGGTTTTTCTTTGGGTAACAAATTACTGCGCTCAATCTCAAACTCTTTCCTCAATCTTTCCTCTTCAGCTTCCTAAATGTGACAAATTAAAATAAAAATATAAGTATAATCAGTTTCCCAACCCTGACCATTATATTAGTGATAAAGGGAATCTAACCGCTTCGGCAGCATCTTTAGCAGCCCTGAAACGCCGAGTTCGTTGCTGGTTCATTTTAGCTCTTGGAGCCACCCCATCTACGAAAGTAGAAATAATGTTAAGTTGAGTTTGGTCAATTTCGAGGAAGAAAAAAAGATACATAAATTTGAATCTACAGTACCAATTGCCATATAAAGGAGCTTTCTTGGGCGAACCAGCGAGAAGAGATGGTCAATGTAGTCAAACATGGATTTGAATACATCGTCATAAGTAGCAGGGGCAGGCTGCATTTTAAAAATAATAATGTCAGTAGGTTCTTAATTCCACATGGAAACCAAAAGGGTGTGCACATGTGCATGAGAAAGAGAGATACCATAATATTCTTGAATAAACCCCAGTGCCTGCTATTGCATTTCGTGAACCCCAAAGACAATTCTTTAATTTCAATCTCACTGCGGCTGTGCCACAACCTTTATACTGCCCCTCAATCACATAACTAGGGGTGGCTATGGGCCAGGCTCAAGCAGGGCCAACTGCTGGGATTGCAGCCCTACGCTGAGCTAGGAACTCCCTGGCCCAAGCCCACCCCGCCCCTGGGCGGCCACTATTTTTTTTTTCCAGGTTGTTCAAATTTAGATACCTATATTTGCAGTTTTTACACGTCACAAATTAAAAATAAGTGCATGAAGTAGATAAAAAAATTTATGCATAAGTTGGTGGTTCGGACCAGTCTACGGAAACAATTTCTAGGCCAGACCCAAACCGAGAACAGAGGAAACCAATTTTTGCGGAGGCCCCACCATGGGCCAAAAAAATTGGTCTAACCTCCAATTTCCAGGGCTCAGCCCAGCTTGCATAATTATGCATCACATTATGAAAATTTCCAAGTTAAACAAACATGTCAAGAGGATGCAATAAATTCTATTAAAACTCATGCATTTCACTTTGATTCTGTGCAAAAGTTCTTTCTAGGTGCTTGAGTGACACAATCTCAAAATGTCAAGGGGCCTTTGTGAGGGGGAGACAAATAATGGATGTAGCACTTGTAGCTAGTGAGGTTGTTGAGGAGTATAGGGTTAAAGAAAATGAGGGTTTTTTGTCGAAAATAGATTTTGTGAAAGCTTGTGTCCATGAAGATTGGAGTTTTCTAGATTATGTGTTGGAAATGAAGGAATTCGAAGTGAGATGGAGGAAATGGATTAGGGACTGTTTCGAGTTGGTAAATTTTTTGATTATTATGAATGGAAACCTTGGGGCAAATTTAGGCATACATGGGACCAAACAAGGGGATCCCCAGCACCGTTCTTGTTTACATTGGTGTGGATGGGTTGAGTAGGATGATGAAAAGGGCAAAGAGATATCATTTGGTTGAAGGATTTGGGATAAGGAGGAAAAGAATTAAAGTATCTCATTTGCAATTTGCGGTTGATAATATATTCTTTTTTTGGAAGAAGAGTAAAAATAAAGGAATTTTGATTGTTGATTGTGTTTGGTGTCATCTCTATTCTCCAAGCTTAAAGGCTAACATGGGAAAAAGCATTATTGTGGAAATTAATTCTAGCGAGGAGAAGATGAATCTGGCTATGGGTTTGGGATCTAGGAAGCACGGATACTAACACTGGTATCGTATCCGATACAATACAAATACGAAAATACGACAAAGTTCAAAAATATGGGACAAGGTACAGTCAGAATACGTCTATTAAAATAGTATAATATATCTTTTAAATAATAATAGAGTTGTAATATATTAAAAATAAAGCATATATTATAACAATATTAATAATAAGACCTAACAAATATTATTTTTTTATTAAAATTGAAATAGATCAAATTAAATTTTTACCATTTTCACCAAACATCATTGCATCTATCAACTTTCATAGTATAAGTTACTAGTCGTGTCCTGGTCCCATGCTAGTCGTGTCCAACTGGTTTCACTTTTCAGGATACTTTTAACCATGTTAGACATGTGTTCAACACTGCCACCGCACCCCGGGGGAAGTATCCGTGCTTCCTAGATTGGGATGCTCAGTGGGTGGCTCTGACCACTGAAATACTTAGGACTCCCCTTGGCTGGTAATCCGATGTCAAGGACTTTTTTGGATATTGCTATTGGGAGGAGATTTGATGGGTGGAAAATTGAATGTTTCATGATGGATTTTTCATGGAAAAAGGTGGGGAGAGGGAATGAAGGACCATTTGATTCACTGGGAGGTGGGCACTAGACCAAAATATAAAGAAAGAGAAAGCCTTTCAATTGGAAATTTGATGAAAATAAATGTAACTTTGATTGGAAAATAGTTCTAAAGGTCCCTTTGGAACACGATTCATTGTGACATGTAGTTATTAGGAGCAAGTATGGGTTATAGGCTTATAGGTGGGGGATGTTAATGGGGTTGACAGAGATATTTTTCAGAGTCCTTGGAGGTCATTTCTCAAGGATTGCCTTACTTTTCTCAAACGGTCAAGTTCATTGTGAGAGACAGAAATACAGTGTCGATTTCTTGGGATTTTGGCTTTCATAAAAATCTTAATGATAGGAAATGTCCGGCATTGATGATTTTTCTTTCTTTGCTTCATAATGGCACATTGGTTCAAAATTACGTGGATAAGAGATTTTTCTTGTAAATCTTTTTTTAAGTCTTTAATCAATGATCCTTTAATTCCATTGAAGATTTGAAAAATGAAGATGCCTTTAAAGATGAAAGTTTATGCATGGATAATTTCTCATGCTAAGATTAGTACTAATGGGGTCCTTCAAAAGAGGAGACTTAATTATTATCTCCAACTACAATGGTATGTCATGTGTAGAGATAATAATGATAGTTTGGACCATTTATTTTTGCAATGTCCTTTGACGCTAAAATTGTGGAAGAAGATTTTTTACCTCATGGAACTTTCTTGGGGTGCTCCAAGGACCCTAGAATCTATATTTTGTTTGGATGATGTGGGGTTTGGGAGAAATAGTAAATGGAAGACCAGGATGCCACAAAGATTACGAGGGAGGAGAACNTTTTTACCTCATGGAACTTTCTTGGGGTGCTCCAAGGACCCTAGAATCTATATTTTGTTTGGATGATGTGACACTTCCCCAAAAGAGGTGCTGTAAATAAGTTTGCTCCTCAAATAGCATGTCAAGGTCACCAAAGAATGGTCTGATGTGAGACAAGGAGTAAAGGTATTGGGAGAATAACAAGAAAAGAGAGGGGATTTCTATTGGAATCACGACCTAAGAAAGCCAGGGTATAAGAGCTAATATCCTTATGGAAAGATAAAGGAACAAATAACATAAACACTTGTGCATAATTAAGAGGTTTGAACTAAAGATTAGGGTGATACTCAGTAAACCATATTCTAGGATAAGTAAGCATAGAGTCAAGACGAGAAAATCCAGAAAGAACCCCCACAATTTACATTGATCTTTTTCTCAGATTTATTAAAAAGGCTTTTATATAAAGCCCCTAAAACAAAAGGGGCTAAGGCCAATTTATTTTTGTCGGCTACACATATACGGCTCTAAGTTAGGACATCTTTAGACATGCGTCCTTGATTTTAAGGGCAGTTGGGAGGATCAGTTGCCCCTAGTGGAATTTGCTTATAACAACAGTTATCAGATGAGCATATAGATGGTGCCCTACGAGACCTTGTGTGGGAGACCATATCGTTCTCTGATTTTTTGGATAGAGGTTGCAGATAAACCTTCCATGGGTTCAGATATGATTTGGGATACCTATGAGAAGGTGGTTATTATACGAAAGCATCTTCTCACGACTCAAAGCCAGCATAAGAGCTATGCCAATCAACGATAGAGACCTATGGAGTTTGAGGTGGGTGATTATGTCTTCTTGAAAGTTATGCATAAGAAAGGAATGGTCTAGTTTAGGAAGAAAGGCAAGTTGTTGCTGTGATATATTGAACCTTTCAAGGTACTTGAGAGGATTGGGGCAATTGTTTATCGAGTGCCATTACCGCCATATCTATCTAGTGTTCACAGTGTGTTTCATGTTTTTATGCTCTGAATGTACACTCCAGATCTTAAAAATGTGGTGGATTGCGGTGAATTGGTGGTTGATGCTAATGGGACATTCGCGGAGGGACTAGTTCGTATTTTGGATAGCCAAGGCCATATGTTGTGTGGCAAGAATGTGAGGTTGATTAAGGTGGTGTGGCAACACCGAGGTATTGAAGAAGCTACATGAGAATGCGAGGACACTATATGACCTACCTATCCATTTTTGTTCCAAGGTGAAGGTATAATTTAATATTAATGGCATACAACATGATTACATTTGCATTCATTTTATATGTTGCATGTGCGTGTAATTTCGTGGACAAAATTCCTTTAAGGGGGAACAATGTAAAACCCAAGAAAATTAAAATCTCAATTAAGTCATTTAAGCGTGGGTTAAAAATCTAAATTATTATGTAACTTAAATGACAAAATGGACTTTACTGTTGAATTCCTCGCGCAAACTCGAGTTGGCCGGTCAAATTTTATTGAATTATGAGACATTCANAAATCTAAATTATTATGTAACTTAAATGACAAAATGGACTTTACTGTTGAATTCCTCACGCAAACTCGAGTTGGCCGGTCAAATTTTATTGAATTATGAGACATTCGATTTTTTCACATAAAACGAGGCAAAACTTGCGATCAAGTGACGCACGATTAAATTTCAGCAACTTAGCTTTATTCACGGAACCCATAATATAAACAATCTAAAAAATTGATAAGTGGCGCATTGTGAACCAAGGACATGAAGAGTATTTAAAGGGGAAAAATTAGATTTTCCCCCATTTGCCTTGCAATTTCATTGGAAAGAGAGAGAGAGAGAGAAAGAAGCCAAGAGTTCTTCAAACTTCTTCTTCTTCTTCCTCCCATCTTACAAGATCCAATTGTCAGATCATTGAACCCTAAGATTTAAAGTTGTTTTTCTCGACGAGGGCAACATGAACATAGCACTTTCTTTGCTATCTTGCAATGATTTCTTTGATTATTAATAAAAGCGCCATCCCACATCTTCCTTATTGTAAGCCATACATGAATACCACGTACATTTGAACGTCCATCTATATTTTTATGATGTAATTTTTTTTTTATAGGAAGCAAATTTCAAACAAGTATTTCCTCTAAATATGAAGAAAGGCATGCCAAAATAATAAGCATAATAGTTGTAATCAGGTTATTTATAAAAACAATTCGATAAGAAACGTCAATAGTATTAATAATAGATAAAAAAAAGTGTTACAAGAACCAAATAAGATGGACAAGTCATCCACCCCTAACAATTTTAAAGAACAAAATAAGAAACAAAACAAACTAAAGCTCCCTCCCCAATCATTCTACTAGTCCCTTCTTTATAATTAATCCCTGACTATAGATTCTTAAGCTCTCTAACTCCCTCCCATCCCTCCCATTTCCTTTTTCTCTTACCTTTCTTTTTCGTAGGAACTAATGACAATCCTTTTTTCTAGCAAATTCTTTAACACAATCAACTTCTCTACATCTGACAAAAAACACTCATTGCGTTCACTACAACTCTCCTCTTTGCCCGAACTCATCCCATTTTCTTCCCCACCATAACATACCATGGCCCTAGTGTGAAGACATTCAGATTTCCAGGAGGTCCACAATGGCACATTTATTATTAGTACTCAAATTTTGATCACAATATCCCATAGCTTCAACACATAAAGAGGCTAAAATTGCTAGTTTCAAACTATCGCTAGAACCACCACGATCAGAAAAAACCCAACCCTCCCCAAATTGTTCCATTTCACCGGGAAGTCCATACAACATATCTCCCTTAAAACAACCACTCCTTCCACACCCTCTTTTAGGTTCGACCATTCTCCCCCCTTATAACCAAGATGACTAGCATACAACCCCCTACAACTAGAACCCGACCATGACCCACAATTCCCCCTTACGCCCCAGACAACCCTAGAATATGTGAGACCTCACCCTCCCCAAAGGAAACCCCCAGTTGAAGAAAAAGAAGACTTACCAGGTTCCTTCCTAATACAAGAAGGTGCATGAACAATCAACTCATAAGCTTGACTAACCTCCTAATGAATTGCAGCCAATGGATTCCCAGAAACATCAACTTCCATGTTTTCTGTTTCAAACAACTTTACCATAGCACAACAGGCTTCCCCTGAATGTAACTCAACTTTTTCTCCTAAATCGCAATGGAGCAACGAATTGAGTGAACTGCTATCATTATTTTCAATATTCTCTTATTGAAATATCACATTTGAAGCATCACCATAGCCACTTGACCTCTAAAATCAATCTTATTCGTTTTTTTGCATCCCCAACCATGTTTTCCTCTTCGATATCTATCGCACAATAATCATTTTCTTCAACTCCTCTTTGCAAATCCGAACCCTTGGTCGGGCTATCCTTACCAAGAGAAATCATCCTAGTAATGGGATCCAGTCCTTTAATTGTATCGGCTTCATCAATTCCAGCGACCGCCTGNTTTGCAAATCCGAACCCTTGGTCGGGCTATCCTTACCAAGAGAAATCATCCTAGTAAGGGGATCCAGTCCTTTAATTGTATCGGCTTCATCAATTCCAGCGACCGCCTTCACCTCCTCCTCTGTTTGCCGTTGAAGAATAGCCCTAGACTCATAGGTTGAATGGGTTACAAGGGCATTGTCTTTTCCATTCTTATTTTTTGTTTCTAGACCATTAGTTACAAGCCCAACACTATCCCACCGCCCAGCTTTATTTTTCATGGCCTGGTCCACCATATCTCTTAAAAAGCCTTTTGATTTTTCATCTTCTTCTAGTTTAAAAGCCCTAAAGACAGCTAGGATTCTAACCCAAATTTTCTTTCATAAGAATCTGTAGCATTAATGCCTAAAATCTCATCCAAACCCCCCCCCAAAAAAAAATTAATGCAATACTTCTCAATTTCCAAAATGGCCATGTTTTTAAAATTTAAATCCCCCCTTAATAGCCCATTATTTTGGGTCAATGCACCATTATCAACATTAATTGTACTATTAACCAGAGGAACAAATCCATCCCCAAGAATAATGCTACTTTGACCTTAGAAACACATCCCAGCATGCCTACACCCCTTCTATCTCTTCCACATGTCCCCCATTTTCCAAAAACTTCATCTTCGATTCTTCCGGTGTACCTATTTTCTGTACAACCTATCCCATACACTTTCTGCTTCTCACGATTGAATGTTCCCATATTAGAGAAAACCCTAACTTTACTAGTAAAGGTTTCCCCATTGTAATCAATATCTAACTGTTTCTTAACGAGTCCAGATAATGGTTTGTGGACACGAACTATGGCCTAATACAAATTTTCACGCCTCTCAGTTTGCCGATCAACATCAATAAACTCACCACAACAATCACCTATCTTTCTGAAGACCTCACGATACAACAAGTGAAACAAACGGCCTTCTATAGCAAGCAATCCCCCCAAGAAAGAAACTTTGCTTCTAATTAATTTGAATCAAGTGTCGCCTCTATAACCTTACCTTAACAGATTCATTGACATGAACCAATTCTTTCATGCAAACTTCCTCCGCCTTTCTCCTGTCATTGCAAAAACAAAGGGTTTTGTCTGTCTAGAATGCATGCAATTTAACCTCCAATTCCAAAAAACCCCCCCACCAAGGCTTCTGTAATGGTACTCCAAGAACAGTACAAGTTCTCCCTTATACATACCATTGTGCACTTCCATCTCTATTCTTCTTTTAGTATCATTTCATCCTCCTTAACAGCAACCTTTTTTCAATATAAATTTATTATCTATCTTTTCAACCTCCCCACCACTTCCACCCATTATCTATAACCTTACCTTAGCAGACTCATTGACATGAACCAATTCTTTCTTGCGATCTTCCTCCGCCTTTCTCCTATCATTGCAAAAAAAAAAGGGGCTTTGTCCGTCTAGAATGCATGCAATTTAACCTCCAGTCCCAAAAAACCCCCCACCAAGGCTTCTTTAATGGTACTCCAGGAACGATACAAGTTCTCCCTAATACATACCACTGCACACTTCCATTTCTCTTCTTTTAGTATCATCTCATCCTCCTTAACGGCAACCTTTTTCAATATAAATCCATTATCTATATTTTCAACCCTCCCCACCACTTCCACCCATCCCCTGCTTTTGTTCTCCAACAACAGAGCAAGCCTTCAGCCACTTCGGCCACTAATAGCCTCATCTAATAGCCTACCAAAGCTTTATCATCCACTTCCTTCATCACCTTTAGGAATGATTAGTCCCATCCTTCCATTATTCATAAATTTCGTGATTCTAATGAACTCTCCAAATGTATCTCTTTTTCAACTCACACAAAATCCATCTCCCCTATACTTTTTGAAGAAAACATCGCTCTTTTTCCATCTCACAACACTTCCTAGTGAATTTTTTAACCAATCCACGCAGCCTATATTGAATAAACATTCGAAGGAACATCAAAATACCCAGTTAATCCTAACCGACACAAAACAGTAAATCCCTGCTAAAGTAAATGCCTAGGAAATCCCTGCTTAAGTCCATTGGAAACCCATTGTTTAAGAGATATTCGAAGAGGACTAATACAGTGGTTTTCAAAAGGACCATTGATCTGAATATACTTTTTCAACTACTTATTAAGAAAAAGAAACAGCTTCTCAAAGATCCAATAAAAGATTTAGATTTAACCAAGTTATTTGTATGAACATAAAACTTTTGATGAGAAGATACTAGGGAACTAGAGCAAGCACCGCAAGTTTTAATATCACTCTATAATAGTTTTGTTGCCCTTGCATACTTTAACAATTACATTATCACTAACTAGCTATAACCACATGTTGGAAGCCATTCTTCAATACCAAAAATCAAGCATCAATCGTGTAACATTTATATTTTAAATAGTAATTTATTTTCTTTAATTATGTAATTTAAAATTAAAGAGAACAGAGAAAAAATAAGAGAGCGTTAGGGGACAGACAAGAAAGAAATAGGTGTGGATTAGTGGGGTTAACAGGCATTGGGGGGGTGTTAGTAGAATTATCATTGGGGGTGTGGATGACAGATAATGTTTTTGAGCAAAAAAAAAATTAAGATAAATTTTGTACCATTAGATCAAAATAATCAAAATTAGATCAATCTTAACCCTTTTTGTACTTATATAAGATGAGAATTCGACTTCCTATCCCTTCAATTATGCATGCCTGACTTTGTCCATACAAAACATGCCTTCAACACCTTTAAGGTGTTCGGTCCAGGCCTGATTATGCAAGAGTTCGGGTGAAAATTGAAAGAGAGAATACAAAGACCGAAGCCGAAGGAAAGGAGGCTGAAGCTTCCGGTGTCCATAAGGCTAACAAAAGGGGCTAGCAACAATGAGTTTGTGATTTCATATCGAGAAGTAGTCACTTTGTTCAAATAATATCAAAAGTCAAGCCTGCACCCAAAAGCTTCCCACCTCAAAATACCCTCGAAGCCTCAATTAACAGGAACCAAACTACAATATGACCGAACTAAATACAACATATGTAACAATGCATTTGTCATAAAAAAAATTTCAAAAAAAAAAAAGAAACAAACACTGAAATTTGAAGAGCATAGAAGGAAATTATTTAAACAGTACCTTTCCTTCAGGGTGAAAACATGGGTGAATAATACCATTCATGTCTAAGTACAAATTATCAAACTCCATGCCGTTAGGGTTTGGTCTCGATATATCGACGGGTAAGAGCACCCCATTTCGATCCTCCTTCGGCAAATCCTCCTTCACGTCCACAATCGACTGAGGATACCGATCCGCCAGCCACCTGTAAAACGCCGGAACTCCCATTTTTCTTCTACTTTACTGAATCCAAATCTGTATGAAGGTTAATGTGTTCTTGTGTATATATATGTACAGCGGTTAAGATTGAGGAATGTTAGCCGTTGAAGGAAACGTTAGGGTTTTCAGGAATTCTAAGAAAAATGAGGTTTTGTATAAAATGTTTTGCCCACGGAGGGGGGAAGCGTGTTGTTTGGGGGAAGAGAGGGAGGTTAGGACTACTTCATTGAATTGTTTAATTGAGGGCTTGCGATCCGGAAGATCTGTAAGTTTTATTCACCNCCCACGGAGGGGGGAAGCGTGTTGTTTGGGGGAAGAGAGGGAGGTTAGGACTACTTCGTTGAATTGTTTAATTGAGGGCTTGCGATCCGGAAGATCTGTAAGTTTTATTCACGCCATACGGCAATAATGGAGTCTCAGATGGATGGCGCTGGAAACATTTGAAAGGACCATATTGCCCATGACACGGAAAAATTACAAAGGCCACATTTTTCCTTTTCATTTGACAGAATTAAACTCAGACTCTCAAGATTCGCTTAATCACTTAAATCTCTTGATATTTAAAATATTATATACATACTTTATAAAATTTGTACTCGTGTAACACTTAAATTTCTGTCGTCAAATATCCATTAATATATCCATTAATAAATTATATATAGACCTTCTAAAATTTGTAAATNACTTAAATCTCTTGATATTTAAAATATTATATACATACTTTATAAAATTTGTACTCGCGTAACACTTAAATTTCTGTCGTCAAATATCCATTAATATATCCATTAATAAATTATACATAGACCTTCTGAAATTTGTAAACNTCTCTTGATATTTAAAATATTATATACATACTTTATAAAATTTGTACTCGTGTAACACTTAAATTTCTGTCGTCAAATATCCATTAATATATCCATTAATAAATTATATATAGACCTTCTAAAATTTGTAAATGTATAATACTTAAACTCCTCAAAATTAAAATATTATACTTAAATAAAAATACTTCAATTAAAGATAAAATATCAATTATTTTATGTTTTATATCCAAAAATTCATATTCTATTGTATCATTTATTAAAATAAAATAAAAAATAAAAAGCCAATTTTTTCTTAAAAAATCATAATTAGTATACAATTATATTATCTATGTGAATACAACTAAAAAATCAAACAATAAGTATAAGTCATTCATATTCATACTAGAACATGAATTTTACAACCAAAATTCATGTTTTATTATGTCATTTATTAAAATAAAATCAAAAATAAAATTCTAATTTTTTTTTTAAAATATCATAATTAGTATACAATTATACTATTTATTGCAATAAAACTAAAAAATTGAATAAAATGTCAAACTGTAATTTACACAATATATGCTAGCTTTAATTGGGGTAATTTGATCTTTTAAACAACCAACATAAATTTCAATATATAGTATAATTGTATACTAATTATGATTTTTTAAGAAAAATTAGATTTTTAATTTTAATTTTAATTTTATTTCAATAAATGTCATAACATAACATAAATATTGATTGTAAAATTTAAAATATTTAATATTCTATNTTAAGAAAAATTAGATTTTTAATTTTAATTTTAATTTTATTTCAATAAATGTCATAATATAACATAAATATTGATTGTAAAATTTAAAATATTTAATATTCTATCTTTGTTTGATTAATTTTTAGTTTAAATATAATACTTTAAACTTAAGGGATATAAATAATACACGTCTAAAACTTTAGGAGGTTTAGATGTAATTTACTAACAGATATAGTAAACGGCAGGAATCTAAGTGTTACGCACGTTCAAACCTTAGAGAGTTTATGTGTAATATTTCAAATGCTAAAGAGTCTGAATGATTAAGTGATAAACATCAAAGAGTTCAAGTATAATTCTTCATTTTTGTTTTAGTGAGCGAAAATAATTTTTTTTAGGTAAGTCGAAAAGGTATTTATTCTACACGTATTAAGACCATTTCTAGCTCTTATACAAACCTTTATTTAAATTTGAGTCAAAAATGGAAAAAAAGCTAGACCTCTCCAACGGATAAATTATTTTTTTTACTAAAATCTTTTCAAAAAATTCTCATGTTATCCCAATTGCTCTTTTTTTTTTTCATATTTCCCTCCAAAACCTTTTTTACTTCTTTACCCTCCAAAACCTCATTCCCCCTCAATTTTTATTCCTTCCTTATTTTTTTCCTACCATTTTAACTCTTCCCTCCATTTTTTGCCAATATTTTCTATAAACAACTTGTATCATTGACATAAATTTTCAATATTCTCAATAACAATGAATCCTTTCAAATATTCTTTGCTCACTTTTTTTTCATCTTCCTCTTCCTCTTCTTCTTTATCGGATGACGAAGAAATCATCTTAGTTGTGGCTCTAGACAAAACAAATAATGTCACAATATTAAAAATCTTAAGAGAAGAGGTAGAACAACCAAACCAACATGGTGGTTCCGTTCTTGGGCGAAAACATATTTATTGTGAAAGACAAAAGGGTCATGATCGATTGTTCACTGACTATTTTGCTGAAAATCCAACTTATCCACATTCAACATTTCGAAGGCGCTTTCGAATATCATGTGATCTATTTAAGGGCACTCTCAATGGTATTAAAGCACACAACTCTTATTTTGTTCAAAAAAAGGATGCATGTCATGTCATTGGATTGTCATCTCTTCAAAAAATGGCATCCTCAATTAGAATACTCACATATGGAATGGCTGCAAATGTCATGGATGATTATTTGCGCATTAGGGAAAGCACAACAATTTTAAGTTTTAAATTTTTTTGTCAACCGGCTATTGAAATTTTGATGAAGAGTATCTCAAATCTCCAAGGGAAGATGATATCGTTAGATTACTTGCCATTGGAGAGGCTCGTGGGTTTCCTGGGATGTTGGAAAGCTTGGATTGCATGCAGTAGGAATGAAAAAATTGTCCAACTGCATGACAAGGTTAATATTGCTATCATATAAAAAACCTATTATAATTTTTGAAGTTGTAGCTTCTTATGACTTGTGGATCTGTTATGTCTTCTTTGGAATTTCGGGATCTCACAATGATCTCAATGTTTTGGATCGTTCTTCTCTTTTTTATGAGCTTGTCCAAGGGCGAGCCCCTCCTACTAGTTACTTTATTAATGAAAACACCTACAACATGGACTATTATCTTGCTAATGATATATATCCTACATGGGCAACACTAGTTTGAACTATTTCTTCTCCAAAAGGAGCAATGAGACAACATTTTACTATAATGCAAAAGTCAACAAGAAAGGATGTGGAGCGAGCATTTGGAATTCTTCAAGCTAGGTTTGCAATTATACATGTACTTGCATGTTTTTGGGATCCTACAACACTTGGGGATATCATGAAAACATGCATTATTTTGCACAATATGATTNTGTACTTGCATGTTTTTGGGATCCTACAACACTTGGGGATATCATGAAAACATGCATTATTTTGCACAATATGATTAGGATTGTCAAAATTCGACACGACATGATTAACTGACACGAATCGACAAGAATTTAACGTGTTTGGGTGAGATCTTAATGGGTTTGGATGATAAACGGGTTAACACACCAAACACATTTAACAAACGAGTCATGTTAGGATGAGACCTGTCAAATCATTTATTACACGTTTAAATAAAATTAATATAATAATTAATTAATAATTATTTTGAAAAAATTAGCAAGAAAAAAGAAGTAAAAAAATCAATACCAAAAAAAAAAAAGTAGTAGTTCAAAGACAAAGAAGGAGAGATTGAGAGCACTTCAAAGACAAAGGCAAACCAATGTCTTTTATTTTTGTCCCACATTGAAAAATGAGAGGAGGGGGGAGGGTTGAGTTACTTATAAAAAAGCAATGACCTCTTGTCTTTTTTTTTAAGCATTCAAGTTTGATTTTTTATGAGATTTGGCTAAAAATTCTTCTTTTTTGAGGTAAGTACAATTAGAAGTAAAAAAAAATTGGAGTATTAAAATTTGTTGATATAATTAATTTAAAATTATATGGGATAAACGAGTCGTGTCGTGTTACCCGTTTATTAAACGAATCATGTTCGTGTTGAGATTTTTCACTCGTTTATTAAACATATCGTGTACGGGTTTACATATTTTTCACCCGTCACCCGTTTAACGTGACACGTAACGGTTTAACCCGACACGTTTGACACCCCTAAATATGATTGTCGAAGATGAATGAGATGGCTATAACAATTTTGACTTCGAACCATCAGAACATAGCCCATCAGTAACAGTTTCACAAGAATGTAATAATGACTATGAAGCATTCATGGCTTGTCATGTAAGAATTAGACACAAGGATGCTTATCATGCCCTTCGCAATGACCTAATTGAGAATTTGTGGCAACGCCATGGAGAGATGAAGTTACTTGTTTACTTTACAATGTATCTTCCAACCTACTTGTTTACCTTGCAGATCCATTCCAAAAAGTAGACTCAAACAAAAACAAACATAAACATCAGTATAGTAACAATTATAATAATCTGGGAGTTGCAAGAGTTGTGGCACTTTTACGCCATTTATTCATTTAGCTTACAAACACTAAAATGAAAATGTGGAACAGTAGCAAACATCCATTGGTCAAAACAAATACTAAATTGATGCAGTGAATTTAAAACCTATACGCACTTTGTCGAACAATTATTTGTCGTTGAAGATCCTATTAGTATGAGCTCTGCATAGAAGTTAAAATTGGTTATATCCATTGACATAATTTTATGGTCTTCTTTTTGTGTTCTTTTTCATTCATCATTGTTAACATTTAAAGTTGGGCTACCTTATTCTTAGCCTTCCTCCCATGATTTGCTACTTTTTGTTGATCACGTTCAATAGCTCAAGTGGACATACCCGCCAAAAATTCAATAATTTTAGTTTGATTGTATGTAATATCATCAAACCTAGCATCATGAATTATTTTCTTCCTTTTTGATTCTTTCTCAACGTTGTTACCA